AGATGAGAAAGACTTCGAGTGAGGGGGAAAGCCAGTAAGGAGGGAAAGACTGAAGATTTAGGGGAGAAAGTAAACAACAGCAGTGAGATTTGGTTGGTTCTAGGGCATTGCTCATTGGAAAGAATGTCAAACCCCTACAGGATAGGGGCTCAGTCCAAAAACCATCAGGGTGATGCTCCAGAGTTCAGCATCATCATTTTTATCTTGAGCCTTGGGAACCAACTGGCTGAGTCACTAAGACCAAGCCATTCTCCTCTACCTTTTCTGTTTGGTGGTGTGGGACCCTCTGCTCAACAGGTGACACTAGACTAAGGCTTCCTCATGGCCAACCTTCATATACTTGGTTACATTTAATTCTCACAGCAGCCCCCAAGTAGGCATTATTACCCCCCATTTTATAGATGAGCACATTGAGGCTCAGAGAGATTGAAGAACAAGCAGCAAATAGCAGAGGAGGAAGACAAGCCTGGACCTTATCCCAAAGTTCATTGTTTCCTCACTCCAGCCCTTGGGAAATATATTCTAATGCCCCCGAGTTAAGAAAATTATGTCCGATTACCTACAAAATCGATAGTTATTACCAAGCTTTTTAGCTGACACCTCCCTGGGTTTTCCGAATTACAGAAATGGGTGCTTCTATCTCTAGAACCACAGAAACCTGAGCCCACATAACCTGTTCGAGTTGCTTCTCTCAAAACCCAGAAACTTTTCACCATTGCTCCTGAAATTTCTCCCCCAGGCCATGGAGCTTTAGAACTGCTGAGAAAGCGGGACGCCTGGGTGGCTCAGTCGTTAAGCATCTGCCTTCGGCTCAGGTCATGATCCTGGGGTTCTGGGATCGAGCCCCGCATTGGACTCCCTGCTCCACAGGAAGCCTGCTTCTCCCTCTCCCACTCTCCCTGCTTGTATTCCCTCTCTCGCTGTGTCTCTGTCAAATAAATAAATAAAATCTTAAAAAAAAAAAAAAAGAACTGCTGAGAAAGTGGATAAAAGAAGAGCAGGTCTTGGCGTGGACCTCCAGGGGCTCCAGCAACAGAGCGGGAGACTAGCCAAGAGGTCAGTTCTAGGTGCTCCTGTTCATCTCTGAGGCACCTCCAAGAAACCTCCAAGAAACAGCCACGGCTTTTGGTCAGAAAGTCTAGCTTTTTTCCTTTTTTAGTGAAGACACTGAAGCCCAAAGAAGTGATCTGCCTAGGGCCGGTCACCAGAGAGTTAAGTGCATTACAAATCCCAATAACCTGTTTATTTCACAGCTGTGAAATCCAGCTTTCTCTGATAGAGACTGCTAGATGCCCGCCCAACCCAACAGCAACGCTGTTTCTCCCCCTTGGTAACAGAACCCCAAGTTTATTCAGAGTAGCATTACACCCTGTTGATGGACTAATTTTCCCACCTCCCTTCAGCTGGATCCAGCCATTAAGTTCTAGCCAGTGAATTGCAAGCAAAAAGTATAGTATGGTTCTTCCAGGAAAGTCTCTTTAAAAGAAGGTATAGGCCCTTCTCCCTTTCCTCTCTCCTGCTGCTTGGAAGTCAGGTGTGACGTGTTACTGTGATATGTTGAAACAAAGTGGCCACCCTGCAGGTCCCACCTCTTACCATGGGCACCTTCCTATGATACCTCGATTCCCATGCTTGCCTTCCTCTGCTCCCGTCCGTCTCAGCAAGGGCCCATCTCTCTTTGTCCTTCTCCGAACACACACCACGAAACGGCGCTCTTGTTCCCCCAACAGCGATCCAGTCACGGCATTGTCCCACCGTGTCATCTGTCCTGATTCCTCTCACCGATCCCTGCTTGCCCAGTCGACCCTGAGCCATTGCCCCTTCCCTTTGATTCAGCCAACTACTTTTCAAAGGTTTCTCCTCAGATGGATTCAGACCGGGAAGTCCCGAACATCCCCCAGGACAAGAACTTGTAAACTGAATCTCAGCAAAAAAGAGCAAAACACTTCCATCCCCACGTGTCTGAGTGACACGGCCATGAGCACGAGCCCTGGCTGGGCCACTCAGCAACTGGGTGACGCTGGGCCACTTAACCTTCCTTTGGCTGCTTCCTTGGCTGGAAACTGGGAATAACAGCATGTAACCTACCTCGTAGGGCGAAATGATGAGAAGCAGGTGAAGCCCCCAGAACAGTGCCTGCAGCATGATAGGTATTCAAGAAATACCATTTGTTATTATTTTTCAACCATGTGTTACTCTTTTATACCTTCCTCCATCTTTTCGTGTTAAAAGCAAAAGCCTGGCTAGGCTCCGCCTCCCACCAGCCTCTGATTAAGGAGAGGCCTCATCGGGGCTTCCCGGTGCCTCGGTTATCAGTGTTTCTGTGGCTCCTGCCTCCTCCCTGTCCTGTCCTTCAAAAAGCCAAGCAACAGGGCAGCTCGCCTATCCTCCCGGGTCTCCCAGGGCACATCCGTCCCCAGGTCAGCATCCACTGCACCGCCTCACTCAGATGATTCCTAGCCATTCTCTCAACTTAGAGGGGCCTTCAGGAGGATCTCTCCACTTCCAAAGCATTTTTAAAACACTTCTTTGTAAAAAAAAAAAACAAAAAACAAAAAACAAACACTTTAAAAAAGTAAACAATTTGGTGAATAATGTTGATTTGCTTTGTGAAATTTTAGGACAAAGCCAAGTTACCTTATCCATGTCATTAAAATACACACACACACACACACACACACATTCCATTCCATTCTAAACTCATAGGCATCAAAGCACCCAGCTGAGGTCTGAACAGCATGTTTTTGCTAACGGTCTCCAGTTGGGAAGGAAGGACAGATCAGGTCTGGGAGCAAATCTCTGTGGGAAAACTACAGTACAGTTTGTCTTGGAGCAACTTGCTCCGGAGTCGAACTCCCAGTACCATTTAGAGATAGCTCTAACCAAGGAAAAACAAAACCCTGAACATTTCTGAAAGAATGCATCAAGGTCTACTGCCTACAATCACTGCCAAACTTGCTATCATGATAGACAGAACTTTTATGCTTATTATTTGTAATGATAACAGCGATCCAAAAAAATCAGTAACTTTTCACTGTGCGGTTACTGTGTGCCCCGCACTGTTGTGCTTCGTGGGATTTGATTCATTTTACTGACGCAATTAACTTTTAGTGGAGGAGGTGCTCAAGAAGAAGGGCTCTCGGGTCACCTGGGTGTCTCAGTTGGTTGAGCGACTGACTCTTGGTTTTGGCTCAGGTCGTGAACTCATGAGTCAGGGGATCAAGCCCCATGTCGGGCTCCATGCTCAGTGCAGTCTGCTTGTCCCTCTCCCTCTGCTCTTTCCCCTGCTCACTCTCTCTCGCTCTCTCAAATAAATAAAATCTTTAAAACAAAAAAAAAAAAAAAAAGGAAGGAAGGCTCTCAGTGGGACAGCTGTATGACCCCAGGCCTTCAATTCCCCATCTATAAAGTGGGGGATAATACCAGCCAGGGACAGTGGTTGTGAGGATTAGATGAAATCATGTAGATAGAGCAGGTGAGCCCAAGGTTTTCCACTGTCATTTCAGAGGCATTGAGATTTGAATGATATATTTGAAAAATAGGTACTATATTAATTTTTTAAAACACAGCAGGAAATGGGAAAATTTAAGATTCTAGAGTATTTCAGTCTGCCCTTCAAGATGTCCATCCTGCTGGAGGTGAACTTGGGAGTGGTGTTTGATCTCTTGGTCCCGGGAGCCAGTCTCTGCTAGCGTCATTCCACATCAAAGGAGACAAGGAGTAGTCGGAGAAACCGAAATGCTGCCCACACTTCAAAGGGAGTCCTCTTCCGGAAGTTGCTAGGGCCTCCCAAGGAGGGTAAACAAGAGTACCGCTCCGGGGACTCCCCGCGAGGTACAGCGACCTCCAAGACATCCCACCGGCTTCCACACTGGGACTTGGCACTTCCCGCCCGGGGTCCAAACAGCACAGCGGGGAACGAAGGGGCCGCTCTGTATAGAGAATGTTGGCCCCGATGCCTTCCTCCTGCAGCAGGACATTAACGGGCTGCCAGCAGGCTCCATCTCAGAGTGGACCGTCCGTGAAGTCTCGGCCCCTGCAGGCGGTGGCCCCTCTCTTGCCTTCTGCACACCGTCAAGTCCACTCGGACAGCTCTATGCCTGTGCTTCCACCGGGTGCCTGACGCATGGGATGGCTAGGTTTCAAAATCACAACCAGAAATAAAACACTATTTCTGGGCGGAGATGGCAGGGATGGGGGGGGTTGGAAGGGGGTGTGAAGAAGGTGCCTAAAATGATCTGCTTTCTCCTGCACAGGTGCTCTGAGCCCAGCATGTGAAATCCCCCTCCCCGGACCCCCGCCCTCCTGCCGTGGGCCCTCGGCTAAGCTGGCAGCGGACAGACCGGTCCCAACCCGTGGGTGGCCCACTTTTTAGTGACAGAGAGGAACAGAGACAGGTTGAGACGGCTTGGGGAATTTCGTGGTGCTCCCCTAATCGGTTAGGGAGATGGCCAAGCGTCGGCTGACCCTCTCGTGGGCCCCGGGGTACTCCCTTGGCCCGCTCGGACTCCTCCTCCCCACTGCGCGCCCGCGCCCCCACAAGACCCTCAAGCATCCCCCTTGCCCCCCCACCCCGCGCGTTC